GTTTCCTTTAAGTTTACTTAGAATTAGATAGATAGAGAAATATTTATGTATATAAAAAAGAAAAAAAAGTGTTGGAGTATCGAGTCTCCCCTCCCCCCTAATAGAAGCAAAACCAAACCAAGTCTTCCTCCCTCTTCTCGTTGCCTTCCACAATTCTCTCTCACTTCTGAACCAACTCCAAACTTCTCTCTGTTCTATTCCATTCCCATTTCCCATTCGTCTTCTTTCCTTGTTTGAAGTTGGAAGTTGGAATCTGGTCCAAGTCCATGGGTTCTCTCTCCTTGCTCTCCCTGCTGTGGCTTGCGCTTCTCCCGCTCCGTCTGGACGCCCGTTTCGTGGTGGAGAAGAGCAGCATCAGCGTTCTGTCTCCCAGCTCTCTGAAGTCGAAGCACGACGCTGCCATAGCCAACTTTGGGATTCCCGACTACGGTGGATTTATCGTCGGCTCTCTCTTCTATCCTCAGAGAGGTGCTTTCGGGTGTCTCCCCTTTCAGGGCGACAGGCCTTTCAAGTCTAACACCCCTCGCCCTACCGTCCTTCTCCTCGATCGTGGAGGTAACTGCTCCCCTTCCCTCCACAATTTAACATAATCAAAACACAGATCCATATTTCATTCATTTACATTTAACCCAATGCATCTGCCCACCACATTTCTCCAACCAAATATTTTATTTTTGTTTTCCTTATCCGAACGCGAATTATGGATCATGATACCTTTTTCATCCTTACAATAACATCATTTATAGGGCCCCGAAACTTTGACTTTCAACTTTCAGATTATTGCTATTGCTCTGTTTCTTTTTCTTAATTTTCCTTTTTCCCGTTCTGCCTCTTGCCTCTTGAACGTTTAATTTGTATTTATCTAAATCAGGCCTAAACTCAATGATATGATTCCTACAATCAAATATGCTACGTCCCACTCTCAAATTTCTGTGAACGATATTTTGATTAGAGGGTAAACGATGTTCTGATTTCAACTTCCTCTGTTTTTTTCTCTGTTGTTGTTGATATTTCTATTGTCAGATTGCTACTTTGCCTTGAAAGTATGGAATGCTCAACAGGCAGGAGCAGCTGTAGTTTTAGTAATGGACAGTATTGAGGAGTCTCTAATAACAATGGATTCACCCGAAGACAGCACCGAAGCAGATGCTTACATTGATAAAATACGAATCCCTTCTGCTTTCATAGAGAAATCCTTGGGGACTAGCCTGAAAGAGGCAGTGAGAAATGGTGAAGACGTTGTGATCAGATTAGACTGGAGAGAGTCGGTTCCCCATCCTGACAACCGAGTGGAGTATGAGTTTTGGACCAACAGCAACGATGAATGTGGCACCCGGTGTGATGAGCAGATGGATTTTGTGAAGAATTTTAAGGGTCATGCTCAGATTCTTGAGAAGGGAGGTTACACTCAGTTCACACCACACTATATTACTTGGTACTGCCCGGAGGCGTTCAGATTTAGCAACCAATGCAAGTCCCAATGYATTAACCATGGCAGGTACTGTGCACCAGATCCAGAGCTGGATTTTGGAGTTGGGTATCAAGGGAGAGATGTTGTGTATGAAAATCTCAGACAGCTTTGTGTGCATCGAGTTTCCAACGAGACCAACCGCTCCTGGGTTTGGTGGGATTTTGTTACAGATTTTCACGTTAGATGCTCCATGAAGGAGAAGAGATATAGCAAACAATGTGCTGAGGATGTCATGAAGTCTCTCAGTAAGTAATCAACTTTTATCATATGCCTGCTTTTAACTAGAAAATAGAAATAAAGAGCAAATTAATGGAAATACTATAACAAAAGATACCTTTCTAATTCTTTGTATTCTGAGTGATGCAGATCTCCCAGTTGACAAGATTAATGAATGCATGGGCGATCCTGAAGCTGATATGGACAATCAGGTGCTAAAAATTGAGCAAGAAATGCAGGTAATCGAAATAATCTCTACCTTACTTTTTTTTGGTGTTTTATAATATCAAATCACTGCGGATCATTCTGGAGTTTCAAGCATTGATGTTCTGCACTACTTCAGTTTTAATCATTGCTAACAGAATCACATTCGTGATTTCAGATTGGCCATGGGTCTCGGGGTGATGTTACAATCTTACCCACATTAGTGATTAATGACGTTCAGTACCGAGGTTTGCTATCTAGCAGTTCTTTAATTATTTCAACTTGTAAGTGTTTTGTTTGAAGAATTTCAAGTCTTTTTTGAACCTTTTGGGCTCGAAGGGAAACTGGACAGAACTGCTGTGCTGAAGGCCATCTGTTCAGGATTCAAGGAAACTGAGGAACCTCCTATTTGTTTAACTTCAGGTTTGATATATACATATTTACTCAATTCCCTGTCCAAGATTGTTATAGTCCTCTTCATCTTGAGATAGTAATTTTTCTCACCTCCAATTGTTTTGATGTCACCCGTAATCAGATATTGAAACTGATGAATGCCTTGAAAGGAACGGTGGTTGTTGGCAGCTCACACAACAGAACATAACTGCATGCAAGGTACAGATGCAAATTTCTCTACATTTTTAAAAGTTATCTTCCTAATTTTTTCTAGTTTCTATTTTTGGTTTAGATATTATAAGATAGAACTTTCAAATTGAAAAGAACATGGAACTTTTCTTTAATTTTAGGACTGTTGTAGGAAACTGGTTAACTGAAAATGAAAAACTCTATGAAAGACGCCCAATTTCCTAAAACCTAAAGTGAAGATAAAAGAATTTCTATATATGGTTTAAAGCTCTGTTCTGAGGTTTGCGATTGCATCTTAAATTAATGATTAGTTACTGATTTGATCAGGATACATTTAGGGGACGAGTTTGTGAGTGCCCTGTTGTTAACGGTGTTCAGTATAAAGGAGATGGTTACACATCTTGTGAAGGTATTCCCTTATATCTGTTCCACAAACGAAAATTATCTTTACAATTCAATGACAGCAAATAGCATTTTGTGCCTGGAGTAATTAAACAAACTGATGTACTATTTATGGTAGATCTTAATTGTTCATTTCTTATGGAGTGGCAATTTACTTCCTTTGATTTGAAAGAACTTGTGAGTGTTTATCCAAGTTGATATAATTATTCCATTTGTTGCTGATTTTTACAGCATATGGACCTGCAAGGTGCACGATTAACAATGGCGGTTGCTGGTCAGAAACTAAAGATGGATTAACTGCCACAGCTTGCTCAGTTTAGCGCTCTTCCCATCATAATCCGTCAACTTTAGAAGCGTTGTCTTATTTACCACTCACCATTATCTAACCTTACAATTTCTTTCTTATATTTTTATGCAAAGTAGAATTCAGATATAAGTGGTTGTAAGTGTCCATCTGGATTCAAAGGTGATGGCCAAAATTGCGAAGGTTCATTCTAAAACCAGAACTGTAAACTTCCTTTATGAATTTTCAGAGTGCTTTATCAGAATCTAAGGTTTTCATGCAAAACCCAGATGTTGATGAATGCAAGGAGCGTCTTGCTTGTCAGTGCGATGGCTGTAGCTGCAAGAACACTTGGGGTGGATACCAATGCAAGTGTAGTGGTAACAGAGTATACATGAAAGACCAAGATACTTGTATCGGTAAGCACGTACCTAGCTTTTCATTTATCCTAATTGAAAATCATGAACTCAGGAATAACCTTGAACATGATCTTTGTTTATGATGCTTCAAGATGCAAATAGATAGCTGGTGAAATCCCTCTTGTTGAGAGCTGATGTAGAAGAAGGGATCCAATCCAATTAAAATATTGTTGTCGTTCAATGAAATGTTAGAAATGATCAATATTTGAGGGATAGAATCTACGTTTATCAGACAGATCTGAATAATTTAGAATGAATAGGCAGTTATCGAGATCCATGTCAATTACACTCTCCAACATGATTAGGAGGGAGGGGATGGTACAGAGGTTTCATGGATGTTGTTGTAATGTTGACGTGTGAAATACTCATTTGTTGCTTGTTCAGAAAAAAGTGGATCAGGAGTTGGAATGTTCCTGGTTTTTCTGGTGCTGGTAGTGGTTGTTGGAGCGGGATTAGCCGGTTACGTGTTCTACAAATATAGGCTGCGGGTATGTTCCTTCAAACATCGTAATTCCTAATAATGACAATGACCAATTGACCACTCAGTCTCTGAGAGTCTTGGGTTGGTTAACAAACGTCAAATTTGATGTCCCTTCCCTGATAATAATAATTTAATTTAGTAAACCTTATGTGTTCTGCATCTCCCAGTCTTACATGGATTCGGAGATTATGTCGATCATGTCGCAGTACATGCCATTAGACAGCCAGAACAAGGTCGAAGCCCACAGTGAATCTGAGCCGCTAAGACAAGGCACAGTGTAACGAGGTAGTAAAGTAATAATGTGTTGGACAAGGTCTGGTTTGGTGTTTGTTTTTGTATCTTTGCTGAAATAAATTTGTGTTTGGGCAGGCAGGTTGGAGAGATGAAAAAGGAGTAACAGCAGAGAGAGAGAGGGCAGGAACAGGATGGAGAATTATAGTGATACATAGATTATGAACTCGGCTCTTCTAGTCATGGTAGCTTGGCTTGGCTTGTGGAGTTATTTTTCTTAAGATGACTATGATGTTTGTTGTATGTAAATACCATTGTTGAGGGACGTGAATGTAGATTAATAAATCGAAATTTAATGATGCATTTATGTAGTCGAGGCAGGCTACCAAGCAAACTCAAAAGGATTGTATGAGAATGTAGTAAGGGAATGGCATAAATTTGAAGTTGCATTTCAACATATAATTTTGAAGATGAAGAGCTTAATTTCTTTATGTGAAACAAACCCCAAATGGAAGTGGCCTGGGCCTGGGGCAGCACTCACTCTGATCATTCTAACTCCAAACCAATTAATTTTAGTTCACCCAGAAAATGATAACATGTACTTTATCCCTTCAACTTGAACTCTGCTATATTTTGGGTACTAAGTATCCCATTATTTCTTCGGCACTTGAGTATCTCATCAACACTGTTAGATTTAGATCATAGTTCTAATACCACTTGACATAGCTAGGTTGTCCGCTTTAAAAAATGTGTGACTGTGAGATAGATTAGAAAGAATCAATAATAACAGATATTATCCAAAGTATTACTCTATGCTTGCCACACTTTGTGTTTTTGACAAGGATGAAAGAGATAAAAAGGAAGAAAGGGGAGGGATCTTGCTTTAAAAAAAGAAAAAAAAAAAACAAATAGCTATTGAATTTTTTGGTATGCTAATACTTTTTTTTCTTTCTCATATTTATCTCTAAGAAATTTTTCTCTCTAAAATTTTTATATTTAATATTTACTATTATTTGTCTCTCTCTCTCGATTTTTCTGTATTATTATTATTAATTTTTCTAACAGATCAGTTTCACGTCTCTCTCTCAAAATTTAATATTTTTGATAACTTTATTCTCTCTACAATTTCGTCTTTTATAACTTTTATTTCTCTTCATAACTATTTTTTCCTCCGAAAATTATATATCTTATTTTCTCGTTCAATTTTCTTTCACTATAGCTTATAGCTTTTTATTTATCTCTGTATTTATTTATTTTCTTTAAAAATTATATTTTTAATCTTGTTTTTATCTCTAAATTTGTTTCCACGGTAATTTTTCTCTTTTTTTCTATTTTTTTTCTTTAACATATATTTTCCTCTCGACTTTTTTCTTTTTCTCTAAATTTTTTCTCTTTTTGCCCTTAACTTTTATTTCACTATTTTTTTTAAAAAAAATATTTTTATTTATCTCTTTAAAATGTATCTTCCAAAATTTATTTACATCTCTCTACACTTGTATTTTCATGTCTCTGGATTGGACTCAAAAAATAGGGAATGCATGTCCCGACCCGATCTCTGATTCCATTTTTTAAATAATTAATATATATTTATTACACTTTTTTTATACTTAAATTCTAACAATAATTAAAAACAATTATAAACTCGATAATTTTTTTCGAGAACATCTCTTGAACCAAAAAACGGTGAAAACGAAGATTAAAAATTTTCACTAGCACAAAAATGCGGGAGAGTATCCTCACTCGCACCCACATCGTTATCATCTCTACTCTACATAGAGTTTTCTCTCTCTAACATGTATTTTCAATTCTCTGACTTTTAAAAAAAAAAACAAAAAAGGGTTATCAATTCTTGTTTTTAAAAACAAAAACCAAAAACCAAAAAAAAAAGAAAAAAAACAACAAACAAAAAACAGAAATGGGTACTTAAAGTTGATGAAGGGAGTAGATACGTAGGTAGTTGGAATAAATTAATGTGGTATATTTATTATATATTAATATAAGTGTGAGTTTTGTGAGGAAAACATGTCCGGGCAGGCATTGGAACAACAGCTTTTCGGTTGGATAAATCTGTTTTAACTCGCTGAATTATGCTCCGATTTGCCACGGAGCTTTGATGAAAAGATAAAAATAATAGCAGTATAGACCCGCAGGCCGAAATATAGCGATTAGCGAAGAAACAAGCAAGGAGAAGAGCTAATTCTAATTTCTAAGAAGAAGGCCCGCCTCGGGGGATGTTGCTATTCGTTGTCTCTATCATCGGGAGAAATCGCGATCCTGCTCACTCCTGATCTTAGGTTTCACTTTTGTTCTTCCCTCTTTTCGTCTTTGATCTCTATCTTTCCCTCTTCTACTTTCTTCAACTCTCTCTATTTCCCTTCTCAAATTTCTTGCAACAAGTTTTATCGTTACCTCCTCTTCTTCCGTCGTTAACGCCTCGTCGAGCAAACTCCCTAGACTGCTGCCCGATGGAAAACGGAGGAGGTATTTCTTTCTTAATTTTATGCGCCTGATCTCTAAATATCCACATTTTTCTAGGTTGAGCTTTCAGAACATCTTACTGGACCCTCTCTTTGCGCTCCTTTTCCTTTCCACCACTGCTTTTCTGTTGTCATTGTTGCTGTTTGTATGGGTTCTTCTACTTATAGTTTGGTTCTATCTATCTACTTCGGAATTTATCGTATTTTGTGTTTTACTATCTCGCGTGAGTTTTAATTCTCTGGTCCTACGAGTGGCGTGATAAATGACATTTTCTCTTATACAATTGTATCCTGAAGGTATATCTCGTTTCCCCTTCCACCATTAGGTGTCTTATCAATGGGAGCAGTGACTGGGAGAACGAAATTCGTTTCTTCTCCATTCATGGGAGGAGACCCCGTTCTAAATATATGGGACGTTGTATGAAAAACATCAGGTCATCTCTGAGTTCCTTCAGAGGTGAAATTAATGGTGGATTTGAAGTGGATCTGAATTTTCCTTCATCAATAATGGATTCTAATGCGATCATGGGCGTAGAGCCATGCCTTGGCATGGAATTTGAATCTCATGAAGATGCATATTCATTCTATAAAGACTACGCCAAGAGTATGGGGTTTGGAACTGCCAAATTAAGCAGCCGTCGTTCCAGAGCATCCAAGGAATTTATTGATGCTAAATTTTCATGCATAAGATATGGCAATAAGCAACAGTCTGATGATGCTATCAACCCACGACCTTCACCAAAAATTGGTTGTAAAGCGAGCATGCATGTCAAGAGAAGACAGAATGGGAAGTGGTATGTTTATAGTTTTGTAAAGGATCATAATCACGAGCTTTTACCATCTCAAGTTCATCTTTTTAGAAGCCACCGTAATATCGATCCACTCAAGAATGATGTCCGAATTCGGAGACGGAAGAATTTAGCTGCTATGTCTAAGCTGTTCAGTGCTTACCAAAATGTTGATTGTTTAGAAAGCTATGTGAGAAACCAGCATGATAAAGGCCGCACTTTGGTTCTAGAATCAGGGGATGCACAGATTTTGCTTGAACTTTTTATGCATATGCAAGAAGAAAATCCAAAATTCTTTTATGCAGTTGATTTGAATGAAGAGCATCAGTTGCGCAATGTGTTCTGGGTTGACGGCAAAGGAATGGAAGATTATGCACACTTTGGAGATGTAGTTTCACTTGACACCACGTATTTCACAAACAAGTATAAACTTCCATTAGTTCTTTTTATAGGAGTGAACCATCATATTCAACCTACTTTACTTGGTTGTGCATTGATTGCAGATGAGACAGTTTACACATTTCTTTGGTTAATACAAACATGGTTTATAGCAATGGGAGAACGAGCTCCGAAGGTGATACTCACCGACCAAAATAACTCTATTAAAGCAGTCATTGAGGCAGTTCTTCCTGGGACACGTCATTACTTTTGTCTGTGGTATATTTTGGAGAGGATTCCGAAAGCTCTCGAGTTTTTAAGCATGTGGCATGAGACTTTTATGGAGAAGTTCAAGAAGTGCATTTTTAAGTCATGGACGAAGGAGCAGTTTGAAAAGAGGTGGCAGAAATTGCTCGATAGATTTAATCTTAGAGAAGTTGAGTGGATGCAATATTTGTATGATGATCGTGCTTATTGGGTGCCTGCTTTTGCAAGAGATGTATCTTTTGCTGGCTTATGCACATCTTTGCGCATGGAAAGTTTGAACTCTTGTTTTGACAAATACGTTCAGATGGAAACATCCTTGACAGAGTTTATAGAGCGATACAGAGACATTCTTGAGGAGCGATATGAGGAAGAAGCAAAGTCAAATTTTGATGCTTGGCATGAAACACCTGAGTTGAAGTCTCCATCTCCTTTTGAGAAACAAATGTCACTAGTATATACTCATGAAATCTTTAAAAAATTCCAAATGGAGGTTTTGGGAGCTGCTGCATGTCATCTTAAGAAAGAAACTGAAGATGAAACTACTACAACATACACTGTCAAAGACTTTGAAGATGGTCAGAATTATGTAATTGAATGCAGTGACTCAAAATCAGATATATACTGCTCCTGTCGTTCATTTGAGTATAAAGGTTTTCTCTGTAGACATGCCATTATTGTGCTCCAAATGTCTGGCATTTTCAGTATACCATCCAAATATATATTGCAGCGTTGGACTAACACTGCTATGAGCATGAATCCAATTAACGAAAAGTTGGATGAGGTTCAATGTAAGGTCCGTCGTTTTAATGATCTTTGTCGAAGAGCTATAATATTGGGCGAAGAAGGGTCTCTGTCTCAGGAGAGTTATGACATTGCACTTTCTGCAATTAATGAAGCTTTGAAACAATGTGCAACTGTACATAGTTCTGTGGAAAGTGATGTGAGGCCTGACACCTCAGCCATTCTTGTTTTCGGTATTGAGGATGACAACCAATGCAGCAACTTAGCTGTTGATAATGCTCCTGATCTCAAAGTTATAAATACAAAAAAAAGTTCTAAGAGAGCAGGTTCGAGCAAGGAATCTGCAGTCAATGAAAACAACAAAAATGGAAAGGTGAGCATTGTACTCTTTAATACGATGACACAAATTGTCTTAATTCTGATGCATTTCTTACTCTACATTAGGGATTCATTTAAATTGGCTTAATGTACCTGGCAGGTACCTCAACTGTTGGATACAAATGCCAGATCCCAGGATGACTTCAATCAAATGGTAAGCTGTAATGCTGGCAAGAATTATCTTCATAAGCAGGTTTTGATTAGAACCAGGTTTTTTTTTTTTTTTTTTGAAAAAAATAGTTCGTATGAAATATTCTGTCTTGGAAGGCTTCTATTTGAATATTGTTGAACTGAAAAAATTCACGGTCCAATTGGATTTGAGGTTTTCAAGCACGAAGTACATCTAGTGGTCTAAAGAGCATGTGTCTCAGAACTGATTGATACTATATGCTTATTTTGGTGGAAGAAACAATTTCATTGATGGTAAGAAAAGCGTGTATTAGAATTTCGGTTTCTTCGATGATGTTCTAAACTAAGGTATTGGAAGTGCCAATTTTGACCTGATTAGAATTGGTCAGATAGAAAAATGGATTGAGCTTAGGCTGTGAAACGAAACCGTTCAAAGGAAAGTCTGCAAAACCTTGATATTACCCCACTCTAAACAAGGAAAGAATTTGACAGTCAGCCAGCATGGTATGCTTTTGTAATATTTCTCCATTTCTAAGTCCCCTTTTCACATTTGCTTCTAATCTATTGAATACTTGGATTTCCTCATTTTTGGCTAAGGTTGCTATTTTCGTGGCAATATTATCACTCTCAATAATTGTTACTCTATGAGTACAAGTAACGTTCTCCACTTGATTTCAATCAAGTTTGGCACGACTTTCTGCTTCCTGGAAGAGAAGCAAGCTAAAGTTTATCATACCAACTTTGTAAAATTACCCTATTAAATCATATAGATATGGTAGATTGAGCGTGGCATATTTTGGATATTTTATTGCATCCTCATTTTTGGTAGAAGGGTAGGCTGTTTTGCTAAACGGTCTTCTTCATCTTCTTGAATATTTGGTTTGAGAGGCACAGAAGGTTGTTTCAGGGCAAGGGATGAATCTGGGGATAAATATGGTCTGACACTCACTTCGGTAACCTTTGGGTTCCTTTTGTTATTCGTTTAGTGATTTTCCGCTTGGCTTGTCTTCTGCATGCCTCTCCTTTCTGTTTTTTCATCTATCCCAATGTGAAAGTGGTTTTCCGATCAAAATAAAAGTATAACCTATTTTCAGTTACTTATTTATTGGTTTTTCCTACCACTCAATGTTAAATTAATTATTAGGATAAGGAAGGAAAAGTGGCTAATCTCTAACAGCTTGATATTATAGGAGAAAGAAGTTTGATATTGACATGTAAGGAATTTAGATATTGCGCTGAAGCCGACAGCTTATCTTTCTGCTGTACAATAACAAACTCGAGCCCAACGTTTCTTCTTATCCTTCCAAAAGGAAAGGCTGGACGTACGTGGCTCGACAAAAATTGGGTAGGACACAATGGTGTTGGTAGGACTATTTGGTCATTCTGCCACCATGTATCCTCCCCCCTCCCCCCAAATTAATAATATCTGATTTTTGTTTTGTTTCTTTTGAGAATGGATACGTTGCATTGAGTCGCAGTTCTGTAATATTGATTGATGTTGTTTTGGTGTGTGTGTTTTGTAGCAGGATTTAAGTAATGTCCGGCCAATCCAATTGCAGATATCATCGGCGCAATTTCATAACATGGTGCCCACACTGCTTCATAATGTGACATCAACACAGTTCCATAGCATGCCTTCTGCACATTTGCATGAGAATCGTCTTCCTCCTTGACCTGTCGTAGTAATCTCTGTAAATATTTACACCTTATATAAACTACTTGACAATCAATATCTGCAAAATCATGTAATCGTCTTGAAGATGCCAGATGCAGATGATGGTGCGGCCGCCAGGCTCAAGTATGAACAGTTTTTGTTATTCCAACTTGTGTCTGTAGCCTGTTTGGTTGCATAATTCTCTATATTTCTCTTCCTCCTTATTCTTTTTAAATTTGAAAGTATAAAAAGTTGGGATGCTTTTTCAAGTATGATAAAATAAATCCATCCGGATCCGGCATTTAAGTGAGTATGAAATCCTGTCAAAGAAAAAGATAGACAAGAATGCAGTCTATTATTTGGACAAATTCTTTCCACCCGTACTACATTTTCTTGTTGCATTGCTAATAAGATGTCAACTAAACATGCATTTTTGTTGTACAATCTGACAAAGTTCACCGATTATTATTATATATATTTTTTTCAATCTTCAATTTCTCTCTTCTCTTCCATCCCCAAATCAATATTGAGTTTCATATTAAAAATATATAACTTAAAGTAATTTATTTTTATTATAATTTTAATAAATATAAAAATAATATCTGGAATATTATCTATTCACGTCTCTTCAATCGCCACTGAACTATGCTTATTTTGACTCCAGATTAACACTCCTTTAAAGTTTCTACTAAAAATTTGAAAGCAATTTGATATTTTTCTTTCAATAAAATAAACTATTTGATAATTATTTATGGTTGTGTGCAACAGATGAATTTTATTTATGTATTTCTGTCCCGTGTTCTTTTTGTTTTTAGTACAACATATAGCAGTTGGTCAAACTAACAACCTCTTAATTTGAGATATATGTTAATTACCGCTGAGCTATGCTCGTTTTGGCTCTCATATTCTTAAATATGAAGTATGGTATAATAATGAAATTAAAAACATAAAGAATTATTTGTAAAGTAATCTGTGAATATATTATATATATATGGCCAAAACGAGTATGATTAGTAATTGACATATATCGCTAACCATGAAGTTGTGAATTCGATAGATCATCACACATATTGTACTAAAAAAAATAAAAATATATATTATATATGACACAAGAAAAGGGTAGTATAGTATTTTATGATTTCGTCAAAGAGTCAGTATCTTCTAAATATCCTTTCTTCAAAAAAAAAAAAAAAAAAAAAAACGGGAAAAGAAAGTATATCCGTGCATCCTTGACAAAGAAGGGACATTCTTGAGTCTCCATTTTCATTTCTAACAGTAAGAGTAGCGTAAGCGTAGCGCGGACAGAGAAGAGAGCAGGAAGAAGGGGCAGTGGTCGTCATCTCCGGAAGCTATGGCTAATGTCTCACAAATCTTCATTTACCCAATCAAATCATGCCGCGCTATTTCAGTTCCCCAAGCACCTCTTACTCCTACTGGTAAAACTTCCTTATCTATTCCTCTTAACCCTTTACTGAATTTATTAGTTCCTTCGCTGGAAACTTCTCCAGGAGGATGCTGTAGAAATCTAAATTTTTGTTCGTATTACGGTTCTATGGCGTCAACTAGCTCGAAACTAGCATTTGTAAACGAGACTTACTTGCTTTTCGTTTTTGTAACCCGCGGGGTGCCCAGGATTTCGGTGGGACCGTCAATGGTTGATTGTGAACTCTAAAGGAAGAGCATACACTCAGAGGGTTGAACCTAAGCTGGCTCTGGTCGAGGTAGAGCTGTCAAACGACGCATTATCTGAGGATTGGGAGCCTTCTGAAACCTCATTTCTAGGTATAACTCATTTTGTTTCTATTTCTGTTTGATAAATGACTGAAATTGTGGATTTTCTTTTGTTGTCATATCTTACTGCATGAATGTGAAACTTTATCATCCTGAAAACGTTGGGGATGGAATCATGCATTCTCAACTGTCATCATTGGTCCGTGCCTGTTGTGTTGTATAGATTTGCTACTTTCTCTATCCTTCGATGTAAACATTGAATTCATCTCACTTCGCAGTCATAAAAGCACCTGGAATGGATGTCTTGAAGGTTCCCCTGCGTCAACAGCGGGAAAAGGCAGATGGTGTCTCTGTCTGGGAATGGTCTGGTGCTGCACTGGATGAGGGAGATGCTCCATCAAAGTGGTTCTCAGATTATCTTGGGAAACCCAGTCGTTTGGTTCGCTTTGATGCAGGTTAGTAGAAGTTCATTGTGGTAAATCCTGTAATATATAACTGGGAGTGTCATTCAGTCGCTTAGTGGTTGTTTAATAAAGGAATGATTCAGTATATTAAAAGGATCAATGGGCTTGGTTTTGGTTTAGTATAAGCGTCCTGAATGGCTCACGTCATAACCAGTCAAATCTCGGAGCATCATGTTCAACTTACTTGGTTGCTTTGTCCTCTTCAGGTTCACAATCAAGGAAAGTGGATCCTAATTATGGTCCTGGACATCGAATCATGTTTTCTGACGAGTTTCCATACATGTTGATATCTCAGGTTTACAAACTATTAGAGCAGTTGGAAGTGTATTTGTCCTTGTCTTTAAGAGCGTGCATCTGAGTCCAAGTTCTCTTGCAGGGATCTCTGGATGCCTTGAATAAAGTTCTCCAAAAACCTGTGTCAGTTAACCGCTTTAGACCAAAGTATGGCTCATCTTTTTTTAAATATCCAAAGTTCCATTACAGTATGGGCCCTACTGCCCATTCAGTCATTCTTAAGTCGTCTCCTTGAGAATGCGACAATAGTAGTCTGATATATGATCAATTTAATACTTTTATGTGTTTACTCTTTCTTGTTTTCTTTTCTACTAGCATTCTCGTTGATGGCTGTGAACCATTCTCTGAGGATTTGTGGACAGAAATCAGAATAGACAAGTTCATTTTTCAGGGTGTTAGGCTATGCGCCCGTTGCAAGGTATTGAGTTGTCATGCCAAAATATTCTATTTGATTTGGGACTTCTTTGTTAGTTTTCTGTAATAACTTCCTACCTGTCGAAGGGCGGTTGTCCCCTCTTAGTTCATCTTAGTTTTAAAAACTATATAAACAAAAAAACAGAATTTTAAGTTCTCTCTCTAATTTGCCCGGCTAGATTTTATAAATTGAAAAAATTATATATACAAAAGGTTATGACGTAAAGTTTTGCCCCTTCGAAAATTTCTGGCTTTGCCTTGCACCTGCCCGGGGTTAAAGCAGTGGTAAAAAGAAAGGAAAAACTTTTGTCTGTGATTTACACCCCACATGCTTATAGTTTTGAGAGAATTTCTGCTTTAGCGTGCCCTTGCATATTGTATATGATAAGGGGTAATAAAGAAATATCATGGTAGAAAGGAATGCACTTTTTGTATAAGGAAGGGCGTGTACGAAAGAAGATATGTGTTATCATTGAGCTAAATAGTAAATTGTATAAACTTTGAGTTATTGGTATAAGATTTCTTTTTTTCTTTTTTTTTTGACAGTTGCGATACGTCATGTGTTTCTTTCACCTGTTTGTACAAAATTAGCATCTGAAAATGACTCTTTTGTCTTCAGGTACCTTCAATAAACCAAGAGACTGGAATTGCAGAACCTGAGCTGAGTGAAACTCTGCAGCATTTCAGATCAGATAAAGTCCTGCGTCCAAACCGTAAACAGAAGGGACAAGTAAGAACTGAATCTGAGACTGGGACACACGTATTTTTATTTCTATTGTAAAATGCTTCACAAAAGAACATTTTTTTTGTATGGTTTGCCAGGTTTTCTTTGGCCAGAATTTGGTTTGGAAGAATTTAGCAGCTGATGGGAAAGGAAAAGTGATAAAAGTGGGAGATAAAGTCGACATTCTGGGGAAGGTTTCGTCTGCAGCGGAAGCAGTAGCTTGAATACCGTAAGATTACTAATTATAAAATACTTATAATAAAGCAAATGCTACTGGGTTTCCTCTGCGTCTGTGACAATAAATATGAATAATATTTCAAGTTTCAACAAATAAAAGGGTACCGTATCGTATTGCATCTACATTCTACATATAGGTTGTTTCATTCTTTTATGCTGCGTGTTTAATAAAATGTAAAAAGTTCTCTCCCCTTCAAAATTTTATTATGCATTTATACTAATCGAACGTGGAGGATCCTCTGTTTGGAATATGGATGCATGGATTTTAGAAAATGAAAACTATTATAATACACATTGATATTGAACACCCGTCATTAAACCTACCTTGTTTCCTGTGAATCGTAACTCATCCCATGAACCGTCCCATTCTTGCCATTCTTACCATATTTGATTGTCTAGGAAACTTGTAAGATACTAAATTCTAGGTAGGAGTCTTGAATCCATTTTATTCAACTTGTTTAATCTCTCTTTTTTTAATTGTCTCTAATGATCACTATGTCAATCCATGATGATTCATAATACTTAAAATTTTGTGATTCTAAAGTGGTTGTAAATGGATAATTTTGAGTATAGTTGATATGGTACCTATAACCTTCCTCGTGGTTAAAGGTCTAATCTCCTATGACTCCACATTTGTTTAACTATAAAAATGTTTTAAAAGTTCTTTCATGAGGCGGTTCAAATGTCAATATTAGCATAATTTAAATGGTTGACAATTTAGACATTTGCTTCTTTCTTTTATGAGTTTTAGTTCGATTTTTTTTAACTCTTGATATAATATAATTAAAAAAAAGTAGTAGTTCAAATGAAAGATAATAAATACTAAAATAAAAGTCATATATTAGTTGTATTTCCTTAACTTGCCTCATGTCAAAGTTTTATGTTGCCTAAATTATTAATAGAGAATTAGCTTAGGGGTATTTAGAACCTTTTTCGAAACTTCCAGAAGTGTAATTACTAATATTTTAATAATAATTATTTTATTTTAGGAGATGAAAAATTTTAATAAGTAAAATTTAATTGAAGTTAAATTTATATAAAAAGAAAAAATATTGCAACAAAAATCATGTGGGAGTTGGAGTTGGACGATTCTAGATTGACAAGAAGCGTATAAAATCACCCTGAAATAGGTATATGCCTTTTCTAGAATAGATAACATAGCAACGTGGGATCCTCAACATACCTTAATGTTTCATTCCCTAGAAATCTAAAAATTGGAAATATCCAAGAAAGAGGCCAGAGGAATTAAAAAGATCAAGAATATCATTCTAGTTTTGGGTAGCATTAGCAAGCAAGGAATTTCTGTTTTTAAATATTTATTAAAATAAGAAAAGTGACCTCAATTCTCTGTCGACACCTTGACATTTCTATCGTTACATTTCTATCGACATTTCTATGTATTCATGTGTTCGACATCGATGTAAGGGGTAAATCAACATTTCCATCATATTACCAAAAAAAATGACAAAATATGAAAAATATCGACAATATATCACTAACATATATATAATATTAATATCGATCATTTTAAATTTATTTCTTTGTTAATTAAAATATTTTTTACAATTTCTTAATTTCTTTAACTTTTACAGAAATATCCATCAACATCAACCTTATATTGATATTTTCTATTGATATTTAAAACCCCGTTGCCTTATATAAATAAATAAATGTTCTTTTTTTGGTAGATAAAAAGGCCCCACATCGACACAGAATTTGATTCCCCAATTTGCAATATTTGGACCGCTTAAAGAAGTTTCTACTCTATTTTTCATCCTCGGAGTTGGAGAATTCTGTTTCCTCCCAAAGATGCTCTTCTTTTTTAATTTCTTTTTGCTTGTAAAGTTTATTCCTTTCAGTTTCATTTATTTATGCCACACCTTTTTTTTTCTAAGAAGATTTATGCCACTCTTATTCTTTATGCCATATGAATTTTTATCTTTTCCTGTAGATGATGATGTTGTCGTCTTTATCTCCACCGACTCAAATATTTATTATCAACATTATGCTTGAACAAATTCGAGTGCATTTTAGTGGATAAAAAAACTATTACTCGATATTCCTTCATATTTGTTAAAATTGAAAAAGAAAAAGAATTATCTTTAAAGTGGTTATTCAGTCAATTATTTAATATGATAAATTAAAGACTAGCATATTTATGCTTCTTATGTATCTAATCTTTTTAGCACTTAAAACTTTAAAGTTTGAATAATTGTCTTAGAAAATATATTTAGTATTTTTGTGACTACATGGTACGATCACATCTTCAAAAAAAGAATCTTTGAGGCACATACTTTCAACTAATAAGTTGTAAGTTCAAATTTCCACTCTTACAACAATAAATCTTTTGATGTTTAGATGTTTTTGTTTGTAAATATATAACGTAATATTATCACCATTCATTCTTAACAAAGTTAGGACTAGGAGGAAGGCTACTTTTAAAGACAAAGGAAATTTTAAAGATAAATGCGATAAGATGCTTATAGTTGAAAGGAAGAGAAATTTTGTGAATGAAAAGGAAGATGGGAATGAGTAAAAGTTTGACATCTGGGATTGCTTGATGCGCTTGTGTTGTGTTGTAACTTGTAATTGAAGAGATATGGTTTAAAAAGAATAATAGAGAGAAAAAGAAAAAACTAAAAAGACGTGTAGGGTACATAACTAGTAATATTCCTTTTAAAGGAGCAATATATTTATATATATGGAAGAAGGGGGTGATGCAGTTGCAGATAGCTGGAGCAGGAGAAAGAAACAAAAGAAGCTGTATGTCAACGATTGATCATGGAGGAGGCGGAACTGGTGGGAGGAGAAAGAAGCATCCGACTGTATGTATGCCTTTTATTTTGGTCTCAAATTGTAATGTTTTCGGTATCTGATATGGAAACGATGGCAGGAGAAAGAGGAAGTGATACTACACCCGCGAGACCTGAAAATAGCGTGGGGCTCCGATGGAACTCAGTGGAAGATTGAGCATTCAAACGATGAGTAAGCACCATGGCCATGCCTTGTAATTTTGATCAATATGTCGTAGAGATGGAATGAATGAATGAATGGTTGTGATTTCTAAATAGGCAAAATAGCTATGCAGAAGCAGTCAAAGTGATATGGTTCGAAGTAAAGGCTACGTACAAGAATGCAAAACGAGGGAGCAAATATAATATTGGGTTCAATATCAGCCTAAAGTCTGAGGCCTTTGGGTGGGAGAGCAGTCCAGTGTTCCTGATGGCCAAGGTTGGAGAATCAGGATCCTACACTTGGAAAAGGCTCTATCTCACTGACATGGAAGCCGAGAAGCCTTTCAACATTCCCGACAATTTTGAGATCGTTATTCCAATCACCGCCAAGGACACCACCCTGCAATTCGGCCTTTATGAAATCTGGGGTGGCAGATGGAAGGGAGGCTTGTGCATTCATCATGCTTATGTTACCAAAGTTTGATCCACCTCATAACACTCTTTCTTACTCAAACTACCCTGCTCTCCCATCCCATCACTTCCACGACCACTGTATTCATTTCACTCGCTCTTTCCCCACTACAGTTATATATTACAATCTAAATAATCCATTATTGATTATGCTAATTCCACCAACATCAGCAATCAAAATCTACTGTAAAATTTAAGCACAAGGCACAATGAAATTAAAAGAAGTTGATAAACAAGTAGTTTCGTGCATCTGAGTCACTTAGATTAGCATATCCGGCAAAACTCCTCTAATAGGCGTTCTATGGTCCTCCTTGATGCAATCTTATTAATTTCAAATGCTCTAATTTCATCCGTCAGACCTGCATGCCGACCATGAAAAGGCATAAATTAGTCAACAGACGCACACTACAAGATATCAGCTGCATGTCTAAACAGGGTAAAAACAAATCACTTCGCTCCTTCTTTACGTCGATGTGCTTGCCATCTGTTGATGTTATCTCGAAAATGCTTTTCAAGGAAAAAAAATATATATATATTGCAAGGAAACTTTTACCTGTTTGATGAAGAACTTTCAGGGGTAGTTGTGACTGGGAGGTATCCGTATTTAAAAAGACAAGCAGCTTCTGCATAAGCTCCAAAGAATCAGCAACAGCGAGGATCTCCCTCTAAATTACGCCGGATGCACGGTAGACAAAAATAGAGGGGAGGAAGAAACAAACAAAGTCAGTTAGTAGTGTAAGTTTCTTAAAAATGGAACTGTAAAAAGCAGCACAGTTTATCCTTCGATGTTGATTCCTGGCCATTCTGATGAAGAAAAAACTTTAGCTAAAAGATACATCGAGTCTAATGCATGCCCAAACTAATTCAAATTATGATTGCCTAATCGTTGTAAGATATGCCCCCTAAATTTGGTAAAGAACATAGCCTCTGTGACCGAGACTTAAAAATATCATATAAGAGAGGGTGGGTCATGGTAAGGAGAAAGAATGAAAACGACTTCTAACTTCAAAACACATGCATGTAACAAAAAGGTATCAAAACCTTTTGATTATGTTTTATTTTAATTTTGTAATTGAGCTATCAGTTATTTTCAGCCTAGTCCATTCCATCTAAATCCTGCTGTTACTCATCTTACAAGTCACAACAGAATGTAATGCCAACCAGGTAATGGTAGAATTTTAACAGAGATAATTATATTGAAGTTAATTGGTAGTCAAACATTTAAATTGAGATGGGGGTAGACGGGGAAAAAGAAAAGAGCATAAGGATCAAATGAAATTTATCCTCATCCCATAGTTTGACTAAAGGTATGGTTTAGCCCACAATTACTCATCCTTTTCAACCTTGAAGTTTTTCCGTGCATCGTAGTATCCAGAAACAATCACAAGCAGCTGAAGTTTCTCCACGCCTGAAAAATAAAATAAAATAAAAGTTGCTTGAACGATGTTAGTAAATACATATCTCGAAGATGTTATATTATACTTGAATGTGAGATAAATTTATTGCAACCAAAAGTTTCCTTACTCATTGAATGATATTTTCTATTCATACGGATGCAGTGCACTTTTTACTATCCTGGCTAGCCAATTGGAGAGGACCAACTTCTCTCCCGGCCAAAACTCAAAATATATTTCCTACCTTACTATTTCATCATTAGTTCATTACTACTTTATATACAAGACACGAGCATAATAACTAAATTTCAGAAGATAGATTTCCATTTATGCCTCTCCTAATGTAACATTCACTATTGGAGGGCTAAACCGTCCAACATAATACAAGAGAACATTTTCAACATAAGTATTAAAGAAGACAAAACAACACCATTCTGTTATTAGTCTCTTTTAGTCCTTTTTAAGGCTTTAACTTTCGGGCTCTTTCTTGTCTTTACCTATTAAACGTGGCTCGTACCGGTGTCCTGGTGGATCCATTCCTATGTCACTGGTTCTTATACTTGTTTAAGGTGCTTGATTCCTTTAAGTAGCTTGAGGCATAATCGAATGTGCACAAAGAATTGATCGACATGACAGGGTCTTGATTCCTTTAAGTAGTAGCTTAGGGCATTAAGCTATGGGGAGTCTATTCATATTGATGTCATGAGTGCTGATACAACCATGGGCAAATTCCGCCAAAAAGATTTTGACTTCCATTTTGGATACTTAGTGAACTTACCACGCCAAACTGAGGAGAAAGGAGAGTGATTTTTCATGCTTGCTTTGTTGACAATGTTCATAAAAACAGAATGGCAAGAAAAGCATCTTGTTTGTATCTATCAACTAATGCCATTTGTCCTGATGGTCCTATAAGGCAAAAGAGGAAGAGATCAAGAAAAGAGAGACCCATTCTAGAACTTCAATTGTCTTGAGTAGAAAGATTTTTTATTGGTCAAAGAATAGATATTCAGGAAGGCCGATGTGATAGAGGCCTCACCAATCCAAAAATTCTCACAAAGCTAGTAGTAGCTCCTGTTCCCACTGTGATCTTGATTTTTCCTGAGAAGAGATCTTTCAGCTTGTGGATAACTTTCCAAGTGAGAGTGAACAGGTGGGAGTAAGTAACGAAGGGGAAATCATTGACAATTCGGCGAAGGTCACAGTTCGTATTTCAACGGGAGGTTTAGATATTGAAGATTTCATGAAAAAGAACCTAGCCCTCCTATCCAAATGGCTTTGGTAATTTTCTCAAGGCAAAGCTACTTGGAAGTCCATTATCAATAGCAAATACGGGCTGGAGGAATACAGATGGCTACATAACTAATGTTTTTTGGAAGGTGGCTGCAGCCCTTGGAAATACATCTACAAAATCAGATCTTTCTTTGACAAAAACATTCGTTTCAAGCTAGGTAATGGGCAGGAAACCAAATTTTCGGAAGAAGATTTGGATTGTCTCTCCATTCATCAGCACGATCTTCCCTTCTCTTTATTTTATTGCTAACAAAAAAAAATCTCTATACATAGCTCCTGTTCGGAATCTGATTATTCCTTTCTAGTTCCAGGAGGTAATATGATATGTCTTGTCTAAGCATGATGAAAACCAATTTTTTTGAGACTGTACTTGAGTGAAATCCTTGGCGACTTTCCACATACTTGAAAGACTTCCTTTTTATTTTTATTCATTTTCATTCTTTTTTAGTTTTTAGTTTTCTTCTAAGCAATTGGCATTTTGATCTGAATAATATATCCATATCCAACGTACCTTGGACACCTATAATATAACTTGTTAGACACTTGGATTAGAGCAGTATCTTCAATTTCAAACATAACATGCTCAACATGTAGACACCACAGAAAAATATTAGAAGTGTTAAAATGATGAATAAACCACCACTCAACCCAAAAGCTTAAGCTAATGGGTTGGGTAAATTTAATTCATTTATATGGATTCTAACACTCCCCCTCACTTGTGGGCTTGGAAAATTAGACCCAACAAGTGGAAATCAATATAAAATAGGGAGGAAACAACTACGTAGGGGTTCGAACACAAGACCTCTTGCTTTGATACCATGTTAAGGATGAATAAACCACCACTCAACCCAAAAGCTTAAGCTAATGGGTTGGGTAAATTTAATTCATTTATATGGATTCTAACAAGAAGAAATGATTTTTCTTTTATTTAAAACGTTTATAAGATATATGATCACTTAGAATTATTCTGGAATTGTTTGGATAAGCCTTATTATAAGACATTGTACCATTAAAAATATAAATCCTTCAGTTTCAAAAAGAAAAGGCGAAAATGGAAATATAATCATGAAAAATCTTATTCAAATTTCAAATACTTACTCAAAAAACTTTGTATGTCTTTATTTGAGTTAACTTCCTGTGAAAGAAATTGAGCAATTGATATTCCAATGGAACTCATCCCAAGATCTAGCCTCGTCAATCTCATTCCAGAATTGTCCAACGTTCCTGGATTAAGAATTCCAGCAAAAAACAATGAAACAGAAGGATACCTTTTAAACTGAATTGAAGCTTCAGGACAAGTCACAATGCAGATTAAATTATTAACATTCGTATCAAACTATAAAGATAGACCACCAGACATGAGGGTATATAGCCGTAAGCAAGGGAAGGATGAGAGAGGAGCGTAACATAAAATAGATTGGTTATTGTGGGGCGTAGGGCATAGTAATTAGTTAGAGCAAGGCTTTCTGTTGTGGGTAGGACATGCGAGAGATAATTCTGGGGAGGGTACTTTTTGAGTTATTTCATTAGTTACTCTCTGAGTGAAGCAAGGAAGAGGCAGGAATCTCTCGAATCTCCCTTGGTATGTACTTTCTTGTGCATAAATAAACAGGTTTCTATCATATAATTACTAAAAACATGTAATTTAACAGTCACTCAACAGCATACTTGCAAGAGTGTTCCACAAAATTAGACATATGAAAGATGTACATAAGGTTGCTGATATAAAAGTCAAATTATTGGTTTAACAAGAGTCTTTAAGTTTCTTTATTCTTTTTTTTTTTTTTAATAAGAAACTTTCATATTAATATAACCAAAAGAAAGGGGAACAAGCTAGGGGCTGGGGTAGAGGGAACCCCACTCAAAAAAGCTAGACAAACGCCTTCCTCGTGTACTAAAACAGGGAAAGGTTAGTTCCAAAAAAATTTCCTGTGATTAATACACCACCAAGAAGCAGTGTGCTGTACATTGCTACAAAAAATGTCAAAAGGAAAAGATCTATCCTCGAAGACCCGAGCATTCCTTTCTAGCCATAACTGCCATAGGAAAGCACTAGAGGTACACCTCCACACCATTTTAACCTTTTTAGGGAGCCCCCAGCCTTGTCGGACTTACGAAAGCCATTCATCAATCTGCTTTGGAAAACAAATGGAGATGCGGAAAAGGTTGAACATGGCATGCCAGTTCCTAGACGCGAAAGGGCAGTGGATAAAAAGATGGTCTATATCCTCACCACTGTTCAAATAAAGGCAGCACACAGAAGGGGAAAACAAACAATTTCTGCACTTCTTTTGAAGCAAGTCATGCGTGTTTAGTCTTCTATGAGCTAGGGACCATAAAAATACTTTAACCTTCTTGGGTACTTTAAACTTCCATATCGAAGTGATGAGGGGGGAGTTTAGGGAAGGAGTGCACTCCACCATTTTCAAGCGCATCGAATGGGTAGTGAACTGCCCTCCTTTGCCGAGTGACCACCCCACTCTATCTTCCCCTTCTCCAAACTGCACAGCATCAATAAACTGAACAAGATCCAACCAACTATTCATTTTCCAATCAAAGAGACCTCTACGAAAGCCTAAGTCCCAGTCGTTTTCATTGCCGTTCCAGCAGGCTGCAACCGTGGCATCTTTCTTCGTGGAGATGCTATACAAAACAGGGAAAAGGAATTGAAGGGGTCTCTACCCAATCCACCAGTCCAACCATAACTTTATTCGGTTCCCTTTTCTCACCTTGAAATCAAGAAACTTGTAGAAGAAGGCACTATTCTTTGAGATATCAAACCACTGTCTTCCTTTGGCCCGCCCTTTTGGTGGGAGAGTACCCCATCCATTTAGGCTTTCACCATAAATACTAGCAATCACCTTTCTCCAAAGGGCATTAGGTTCTTGAGTGAATCTCCAAAGCCACTTGAGAAGAAGGCTTTTGTTTTTCTGTTGTAAGGCCCCGATACAAAGACCTCCGTACCGTAAGAAGGGTCGTTTTGCCCCAATCCACCAAGTGGTTGCATTTTCCTTTCGATGTCCCTCCATTCCAAAAGAAATTTCTTGTCAGCTTCTCTAGTTCATCTACCACACCCTTCGGAGCTTTAAGAATGGAGAAGAAATAGAGGGGAATGCTCGTAATCAACAACTGCGTCAGGGTCATCCGACCTCCCTTCGACAGGAAGAGGTTCTTCCACTTTTCAATTTTCTTCCTGACTTTGTCCACAATCGGGTCCCAAAAGGCTTTCTTCTTAAGTTAGCCCCCAACGGAATCCCCAAATATGAGAAAGGAAGCTTTTCTACCAAACAACCCAGCTTGTTGGCCATACTCTGCAACAAATCTTCCTCCACATGTATTCCTATAAGACTTGTTTTTCCCAGGTTCAAAGACAGACCAGAGGCTTTAAGAAAGATGTCTATAATCATCCACCATCTATCAAGCATACCTAATTCATCTGGGCAGAAAATTACAGTATCGTCCACGTATTGCAAATGAGAGATGGTCCAAGTTGAGAAAATCTATGTCTACTATTTCTATGTTAGAAACGGGCAACGGGGTGTTACTAACTTCAGAAGAAGAGATTGAGAATGAAATAGTTGGCTTCTACGAATGCTTATATGGTGATTCTTCTGGATACCGGTTCCAAATTGAAAATGTTCAGTGGAATAGTCTGAAGGAGAATTGGAAGGCTTGGCTTGAGAGACCGTTTGATCTTGAAGAGATTCAGAAAGTGGTGTTTAGCATCGGTAATTTGAAGTCCCCTGGACCGGATGGTTTTACAAATGAGTTCTTTAAAAAGTGCTAGAACACCCTCAAGTTTGATTTATTAGGGGTGTTCCAAGACTTTTTAAGAAACGGCATCATAAACCGGTGTACAAACGAGACTTATATCCGTTTGATCCCGGAAAAAGCAAAGGCGATGAAAGTAGGGGAGTACAGGCCGATTAGCCTTGTAACTTCTTTGTATAAGATCCTTTCTAAAGTGCTAGCGGAAAGACTTAAGAAAGTTCTTCCTTTTATTATCCACGAGGCTTAATCTGCCTTCATTGAAGGGCGTTAAATTTTGGATGCTATTCTTATAGCTTCTGAGACGGTGGGAGACTGGGAGGAAAAGGAAAAATCTGGTTTTGTTCTTAAATTAGATTATGAAAAGGCATATGATAAAGTGGACTGGCTGTACCTTGATGCGGTTATGGAGCAAAAAGGCTTTGGTCATCGGTGGAGAAAGTGGATAAGAGGATGCTTATCCTCTGTGAACTTTTCCATTCTCATAAATGGTAGACCTCGGGGAAAAATCTTTGCGAAAAGAGGCTTGAGACAAGGGGATCCTCTTTCCCCTTTTCTCTTTACCTTAGTAGGGGACTCCTTTAGTCGTTTAATTCACTATTGTAGTCAAAGAAGATTGATTAAAGGCTTCGGAGCTGGTAGACAAATGGTCGAGTTCTTTATTCTTCAATCCCCAAGTATCATTTTAATTAGCAAAGTACATATTTTATTCATTGAATTATAATGGATTGTATGTTCTTCACCACTTTGGTATCTGGGATCAAAATAGAATTGGGTCTGCCACAAAGGGGAATACCAAAAACAAGGTGCGAGGCAAAATTCTAGTTTTAATTATTGGTTGCCTCTTTGGCAATTCAGGAAGGTGAGGATATGTGAGTCTTTGCCCAACAGTTCAAAAGTTCTCTTTGATGCCTTCCTCTGGATTGGAAGTAAACGATATGATTTAAAGTTCCCCACTACTAGTTTCCACAGGCTCCATCCATTTACTGACTGTAGCTAGATATTCTGAAAATTAAATTAGTTCACTCCAGAGTTCACACTATGACACCATCTAAGGATGAATCTTAGTTTTTGTTGAGAGAAGTTGGCAGATTGGGAAACTATAACCTAACATACTGTGGTTCCTTCTACGAGAAAGGGAAATGAATTATAATCATGATGTCTAAATTTTTTCATCAAACTTCGCAAAGAATGCACTACATAATAGGACCAAACTATATATATGAGACAATGGCAAACCGAAGTCTAGTTTGATTCCCCACCTCTTGTCCACTTCTTGAAATCCTTGAGCACTATATCAATTACTCCATGGCTGGACGCATTGTACATCTTGTATTTCACTGTAGACGCATAAAATAATTTCTAGATGATACCAGAAGAACAAGCACGAACAGAAAAAAAAAATGGAATTTGTACCATAAAGATTCATGAAGAAGAGAATAAAAGACATACATATCTGATAAAAACCATTGTACCCGAAACGACCAGCACCATTGATCAACAACGTAGTCATGTACTTATCTTTGGAGGTACAATGGGGGCTATTTAGGTTTCCAGAATCTAATAGAATGCCAGCAAGCTGCAAGGAGGAAAAGAAAAATACTAAAAAGAGTCCAATTTTTTAACAAGAGAATGATCACCTGTGGAACTAGGAAAATGCAACTCTGGAGCTAGCATTGAGTCTGTAAAGCAGGAAAACGCAAGGGGAAGAATGATGTCTAACCATGTAGTACTTCTAGATTTGAAGCTAAATAATAATTAAATTTGAAAACTGTTGGGAATTTTTCAATTCTG